TATTCAGCCTAACAAGTGTACATGAAATGCAAAGTCGCATAGTCACTGCGGCCTAGAGGGGTATCGAGTATCACTCTCTCAATCATCAGTTCTTCATTAGTGAATATCTGGTGCAGTATGGATAGTCTGTTATTTCCCCTGAATCTGGTGGGCGAAGGAACGTGGCCATAAAGCGGAAATTCTGAGACAAGACCATGCAGGTCTGCTTTGAATTGCTGTCCTGGTGTAGCCTGGGATTCTAGAGCATGTAAGTTAACAGATTATGTGCTGAAAGTGAACAAACACGTTGATTTGTAGTGCTAGGTTGACGCCTGGATAGAGAGGATTATGTGGCGTATTGTAAATGTATGAGTGTGCGGGAAGAAACAAGTGAGGAGGGCTTTCCATGGTTGGCACACGCGAAGGGAAAAGAAGTTCCGACGGCAATCCCACTGGCTATACTGTGTGGTCAGCTTTAGCTGGTCCATCGTGGTATTGTGATTCAGCTTCGAAAGGTAGCTACAAGCATGGTTTAGATTCCACAGGATCAAATATCTCATTATCAAATCGCCACGCAGGATTCGACATTGTCCACTGTAGACCCCACGGATTCTCAACTTCAGTTGGTAAGGAAGATGAAGCAGATCCTTTCACTTTCCTGGTCGCCTTTCATTGTGGGAGTTCAATTACGGTGAGGTCGTAATTGTGTTAGGGCTGCCAGTCGTAAATAGCGTCTTATGAATGAGGCCTTATATAGGCATTGAGCATCTGAGAGAGGATTGGAGGGTCAAAACACCCGAATGCTCTCTGCAAAAGGCCAAAATGTTGGCTGGTTTTTCTTGACTCCTCGTCTGCCTGACGAGAACAGCCAATGTCCACTTCTACTATCACACCAAGATCGCATTTAGTCGTAGCACACTGCAAAGCTCGATCCTTCAGCCTGTACGCGCAAGTGGATTGATGGCTTATGTTCAATGTCTTACACTTGGTGGCGCTGAAATGAAGCAGTTTCTGGGTCATCTACCCGTATACCCTATCATGATCCTCCTGAAGCGCCACATGATCACCCGTTGTTTTGATGGCCCGTCGTTTCTTGCAAGTGTTAGCGAAGTGTAAGAAATTGAAAGTGATCACTCTCACGAGGTCGTTTATGTAAATGAAGAATAGGCGTGGACCAAGTACTGAGCCCTGTGGCGCTCCGCGCTGAGCGTCGATAGGGTCAGAGATGACGCTGCGAACTCTTACACTCAGATGTCGCTGAATCAGTAAGTTTGCCAAGCACCTGAGAATTGGGTTACCAACTTCACAGCTCTGAAGCATGTGAATAAGGATGCGGTGATTCAGTAGATTGAACGTCTTCGAGAAGTCCAGATGGGCTACGTCAACTCCCACACCGCTGTCAACGATTTCAGTCCAACTGAAGCGAGTAAGCAGCAGGTTTGTGGCGCAGGATCGGTTCCGAAGAAATCCATGCTGTTCTGGTGCTATGACTTTGTATTCCTCCAAGTAATTCATGGGGGCATCGGTAATATTGGACTCCATGATTTTGTACACCACCGGCAGGAGAGTTATCGGGCGATAGTTGGATGGATCTGCATGATTTCCCCCTTTGTGAATGTGAGTGATGATTCCGTGCTTCCACACTGTGGGAACACATCTCGTCGAGACATCGTTGAAAGAACCTAGAGATTGGATCCACCAAATTTATTGCACCCAACTTCGGCATATTTGGTTGGATATTATCAGCACCAAGAGAGGTGTGCTCGGGTAGGAACTTTAGCCTTCTCAGAAGCTCTGTAGCTATAAACGAAATATGACTACTTTTCCGCCTTCAGTGACTCCTTGGATTTGCTCCAGAGTGAATCTCTTGTGATCATACACTTCGCGTCCTGCTGCGTATAGATGGCTTTACTCACATCGCGCGCCGTGGGTATGTTTCTCGAAGCACTGGCTACTAACTCGTTAAACTGATGAGGAGAATCCCACCAGGCGCCATCGGGGGATAGTTCTACTGGAAAGCACTAGTCAGTTGTATTAATAAGTGTGGTCAAAACAGCGTAATCGGTAATAAGCGGAGAGTCATCGGTGTTGGCTGCGGAATGCTCTGCATAATAATTGCAGTTGAACAAGAGTGTTGCATGATCGGTATGACCCAAAGCACTAGCTATCGATACCGATTCGATCATGAGCTCCTTGTTGGTTAATAAGCGATTAATGATACTTAGCTTGTTCCCAGTCCTGAATTTTGTGGGGAGGGCAACATGGTTGTATGGTGGTGGTAGGCATGGTGGTAATCCAGCGATTAGTTCCTGAAATTCTATTTTGAAGTTCTCATCGAAACAAGATGGGGTTTCTAGGGCGTGAAGATTGAAGTCGCCAACCAGGAGGATGTAACTGTGTCGTGTGCGAGGATAGTTTTCATAGTGGTAGCTAAGCGATTTTCCATTACTGAAGTGGATGACGGAGGGCAGTACACGATGCCCACTAAGCGTGTGTAATCACGTCATAGATGAGGAGGAAACTAAGGCGCGTCGACAATCTGGACATCCGGTTCACCGATTACATCAAGATGCGGCTTACTGTGGTAATAGAGTAGTAGACCGCCTCCGATATTCGGCCCCTAGTTACACAGAACAGACATTTCGGGTAGTACAGTTTCGCTGTCCATGATCACTTCACTCGACCACGTTTCGGTTACCATGATGAGGTTCCACGGCATCGCAGCATGCCGTAGTCGAAGCCCAAACAGTTCGCTTAGAAGGCCTTGGGCATTAGTATGAAAAAGAGAGTGTCATATAGGTTAGAAGTGTGCTGGTGGATATTAAATTTGTGTTTAGTTTTAAGCCGACCGTTTGTCGGTCGGCCGCTGACCATTGTTGTGCTGTTAGGTACTAAGCACACGATACCGTTTAGGTTTTTTAACTCGAACTCTCCTAGGTTATCATTTTTTATAATTTTGCCTTTCTCGTAATAGCTGTGTTGTATTTTTGTGCCCAGAAGACATGGCTGCTTCTGCAGAAGTGTTGTCACGTAAGATAGGGTCAGCTTTGAGGTGAGCCAGCTTACGTTATTGCCTCGGTACGGCGGATATTGACCGGTGTAAAGCTGTCCCGTATAGAGGGCAACAGTAGATAGGAAGCTAACTGCAAAATGTGCTAGTTGCAAAATTGCATGGCAATGTAGTTGCTGGTTTGCTTCAGAAGTATGCAGACATGTGACGAGCTCTATGGTGCGGGGGAATATGTATAACCTTGTTTTGATATTCTTACTTGATCATACATCCGATTGCAATGCGACTCATGAACTTTCATTCATCGAACGTGCCACGGATATCCACGGTAAGCGCCGGATATCCACCGTCCGAGTAGGTTTTTGTACTGAGGATGCATTCTCTAAGTTGAGGCTAGTAGATAAAGAAAGAAATATAGCAAGATAAATGTTTTATTCTCGACAATGCGATACACGCCTGTGTATGTATGGTTATGATGATGCAAAAATTGGGTAGCGTCATATGTAAATAACGGTACAATTTTATCAGCAGCCTGTGGATACATGTGATAAGTGTGTACGAACGTATGTTGCAAAGAAGGTGTGTGGCTGTGTTGCTTGCAGTTACAAATGTGACGCTGCCTTTGTGATTGATTTCCGTCAGGTCGCCAGTGCGAGAAGGGATGAAATGAAATCTCCGTATTGGATGACTGACCTCCGTAGTGTGGGTAAGATCATCCAGATACGTAAAAGTGACTTTACCTACTGGCAAGTAACAATCGCCCCGTCGCAGTGTTGTTAAACCGACATGGGTGGCTTTTTATAGGGAGAAAGCGGACCAGCTGAAAACCCACCACGTCTTGGAACACTGCCGCTGAACCAATCGCTGTAACGGGATTAACCCAAATCATCCAGCTAGCATCCCGTGGAGGTTGTTCGGCCAGCCAATACGGCTTCCAATATTGTTGGATTCCTTTTACTTTTGAGCAAATGCGTTCGCTTGTCTGTCGTTATTTATTAGGCTTCCTCACAGAGTAGTTGTACAGGAAAAGGGGAACCACCACCGTATTTTGAGGAGAGTGGTGACGTGTGCGCTTTCCTTTCTGACGCCATTTTCAAATTTGTGGTCGCCCTAAACCCCACACTCCAGCTGGCGCCCCACGTAGAGCAGGTATAAACTGGTGGGACTATCCCGAGCGGACGACTATTAGGGCGAAGATACCCGGTCTCTCAATTTGCCCTTTACATTGGTTCACAACGTACATACTAGCCGATGTTGATCCAGTTCTGCAGCATCAGTAACACTCACCCGCACATCACATGCTTTGTGCTTACAGTGGACGCATATGTTAGGAAGAGTCGCTGGTGCTGCTTGAGCGACCCTTGATCATGTGGAAGTCAGGTGTGTCTTGTGCCTATGCATAGGCACAAGCGCAATAGTTAATCAATTGCACTTTCACAACCGGTCAGTATATTTACAAATCATAAGTGAAAGATTATGACAAATGTAACCAGTGCATTAAGTAATCATTTCTGGCTGAGTTAATTCTAAGTTGTCATCCTAGCTACGGATAACGGGGACATGGGGCATATTAGGTTTAGAGTCGAGTTCGTTTTGATCGCTATAAGGCTCTCCTATCCAAAGTAAACGTCATTTGACTTGAACACCTGCATTACATTGGTAGCAGAGCTATATTCTCAACCCCAAATAATCCAGGTGCGAAAGCATCTGGGAACTTGTGATTGAACTGAAAGCCATAATTTATACGCACATTCGAATATACAATTGTGCCACAGTAGCTAGTTTAGTAATGCCTAGAAAGTGATATGCTCATTGTTAATTTCCGATGTTCAGCCTTATAAATTAATGGAGGAGAATAGTTACTTGAACGAATTCGCTATGCAAGTGACTCACACACTTGTCCATGATATGTAGATACTGGAGATAAGTTGACGTAGTTAGCAGACGACCAATTACATGTATGCATTAACTTTCAATCAAGACTGTTCTAACCCTAATCTCTGCATCACAGGTTTCTATCGCACTGCAACTGACGAAACCGAGCACTTGTTTATGGAGACGGATAAGGATAAGAATGAACTACTCACGAAGGAAGAAGTACTGTCAATACACGAACTGTGGGTCGGTAGCCAGGCGACAGATTTCGGAAGACACTTGGAGAACGACATGAAAGATGAGTTGTAATCCAAGCTATACTAATCCACAATACGCATAACCAACGGAATCTGTTCACATATGTGATTATTCTTTTCATTGTAAAGGTTGGGGTGACAATGAAAGTTAAGCTAGGGATAAGCTGAAAACGGCACCCTTAACAACCCACGCATGAATGTCCCAGAGGTGCTAAAATGTTTTAAACCTAGCTTGATGGGCGTAACACTAAGATTACAAAGAGTGACCTCATCGATAATTGATTTTTGTAATGCAGCTGAACACAAGCACACCTGACAATGGTTAACAATGTGACGGAATAGAACTATTATAGGTTCTGCGCCTTGAAGCTAGAACGATATACAGTGATACATTGAGGGTAACAGAGCAGGTTGAGAAATCCAGGCAATAAACTTAAGCGCACATCAATGGAATCGTAAAATGACATCCTAAAAAATAGCAATGAACTCGGTACCTTTCAAAGATGTGATGCGTGGAACGCAATACAAGCATACAAAACAGTGATTGAGGTAGCTACAATTAAAGTTCCTCGTGAGAAAAATAATACACTTACTCATGGACTGAAATGCGAAACAGAAAAATAATTTCCAAGCAGATATGAAGAGGAAGGGATGGCGAAGAATGTCTTGAACGTTATCCAGCTTGACTCTAGGGAGACATGATAAAGGTTGTAACAAGTACAATGCTGTGTGGCATCTATCGGACCGTGTGAGTATCAAACCAACTAGTGTGAGCTTTCTCGACTATCTACTGTGTACCCGGAAGTCACACATGAGTAAATAGATGCCTTCACTGTCGAAAACTGAAACGATCGTAATTTTAGTTTCAAATCCGAGAGTTGTGTACAGAAAAGAAACTTGACGTGCCATCAATTTGCCCTGGCCACAATCCGCCTCGATTAACAATGGAGACTACGCCACAACACCAGGAACTTAATTAACCATACCGGCCAAACTTTTTGACCCACTGTCTCAAAGAATCCCATTATCATATTCCCGTTCGAAAAATGTTTCAGCCATTTGTGTTTTTGACGGGATCGACTTCCTCTCCATGGATATCGTGTTTCGTCACATGTACCTGAAAATAGTTTTACCGCAAGCCAGTTGCATCCAGTGGGCGCACACGCCCCTAACTGCGTACTGTTCGTTAAGTGGACAGCTCTAAAACAGACATTATCATATCAGATGGGAAGCGACGTCTTTCATCTGGGAGTCTATTGCCAGGGGGCAGAGAAAATATCTGACTATTTGGCGCAATCAAAAGCAACTCCACTATTATAGACTGAAGCTACCAAGCGGGCGAGTTCTAATAAAGAACTCATCTTCCAGAAAGCTGTAACAGTCGAAGCTACGGCGTAAACAATGAGAGGGAATAGCTCATCCTTCAAAGTACTCACAGTAAAAGTGAATAAAACCATATGGCAAGAGAGAAGGTTAAATGCGGACAGGTAGTCAATCATTGGACTACATGAACGAGCTCAACAAGATGGAAATGCAAGACGGCGATGAGGAGTACGGAGCATGAGCAACCAATTATGTGGCGTAACAACAATAAAAATCATCAAAAAAGACATGAAAGCGAAGTGCAAAATGGGGAACGATGGAGAAATGTGCGGCGGTTGGACCCAATCCGCGGGGAGCAACGAGGCATTGTAGGTAGATGACCTAGCTAAGAAACAACCTAATGAGCAAAGCATTGGATAGAAGTAGACAATGGGGATGAGCTTGCAGCGAAAGAAGTTGTTGACTAGGTAATGAAAAGACAAACCAAGTGATATATGCTGAAAGTGCAAATGTTTTCGGGTTCACTACTAGCACTTGAAAGTGAGAAGTTGAAAACGGAGTTCAGGTGGCGTTCCAGGTGTAATTAGAGCTGACTACCAGTGAGTTCGCGGTCAACCTAGATGACTTTATCGCTCGAGCTGATAGACATGAATATTTTTGAGGTTGGTATGATGACCGAGATTAAATACTTGGTGGCCTAAGGGGCTGAAAACACGTAGTATTTGATATGCCTGGCTTACCAAACAACCTCCTTACTGTGCCGGTTGGAGGAATCGGGACTATCACGTTCCAAGGAATGGTTCCGCGGCAGATGTTGATGAAAAGTTCATTTGATCATAAGAGTGGACGATGTATGCTATGGACAGTGTCCAGAAATGAACATACAAACTAAACTCACACAAACGCATGATACCAAATCCTAAATGGACTTGTCAGTGCATCCACTTGGGAGTTCTCAAAAGTGCCCGCTTGGTTGCGATGGAACAGAGTTCATTGAAAGACTCAGCGACAAGCTCGACAGAGCATGCAAAACGAAGCAACTTCGTTCTCCAAAGGTGACATCAGTTTGCAGAAGCTGGACTCAAAATGTATTGAAAATAAGGGATGCTGTGGGGGAACTCTCTGATCCGTCGTGACCATTATACCACACTTGGCCATGAAGACAACGTTACCTACCAACAGTGCCTGGCCAAAAGTTCCAGAGCAACAACAAGCTACTGTACAGGCACGTTAGCAGCCTTCGTAATTGCACTGCACAAACGTATATAAATAATGCTACATCGAGTTATAAACTATACTATAAGCACGGTCTAACCAGAAAACGGTTAGGTCGAAACTTTCGTGATATAATCTTCTAACCGTGGTTCCAAGGGGTAGAATAGTGCAAAAGACGAAAATCACGGCTGCTTCCACAACGTGCGAAAACATAAGTAGAATAGTAATATTAGCAGCAGACTTAAGAAGATGTGGCACTGAGACAAATTGCATGCAAGTGTGGCGGATGAATAACAGTATATTTCCCGACGTATCCCGCTCGTCGGAAAATATACCTACTGATTTATTTATTTGTAAGACTCGTCTGAAAATGTAGCGGTCTAGAGAGCAAGAAGTGTGTTATTTGCTTGGAAATGTGGAACAATTGGGACAAGTGGCACTAAGTCACCAAGAAGGAATAATCCATCAGGTGCAGGAAATTAAAGTTCGTTCGGACTTTACACCCACTTTTCACAACAACCAGCAGCGCACAAAGAGCCGAGGAAGTGGCCAACGCCATGAGGCTACCATGGTTACCAATTTTTGAATGTGTAGCTTTTCTCTGTCACATAACATTAACCAATTTACCGGCTACAGGACTTAAAAATGTTGTCCTCAGTTCAGCGGTTGTGCAAAAGAAGTTGTTCTCATAGCTCCATGGGAGCCGACAACATCCGTAAGAAGACACTGAATGTTACAGCTACAAAGCCAGCCAACCCCCCTGTCACGATTCTTCCGAACTTGCTTTGGTGAACAAAACGATCGACTATGTGGGAGCAGGAAGTATCGCAGCGATTTTTAAAGGCCGCATCCGTTTATGCCCTGCAAACTATCGCCTAATGACTACCTGTGTTCTCTAAGCTGATGGAAGCTGTCATAGCTGAGGCTTTAGTGGAATACCTGGAAACTACAACGTCTTAGCAACTGAACACCATGGCTTCTGTCAACACCGGTCATACATTAACAGCCGACTCATGGCATGGGGTAGTTAGACGTAAGCGGGCGATAGTGGGATTGGGATTGACGTCTCCTATCTGAACCCACAAAACGTTTTCGGCCGCCCCTGTCACCGCATACTATTTCACAGGTTAAGGCTATATGGAATCGGAGATCCTGTCCTTGGGTGGATTGTCAACTTTCTTTACTAAGGGAGTGGTTCAGGGATAAGTCAGCAACACGATTGACGTGAAATGCCGTATAAAACACGGTTCATTGCGGAGAATGTGATTATCCTTATGTTTATCAAGGATATTGCAATGGTTATTACCGCTAATTTCCTGGTATTTTTTGCAAATGGCGTTAAGATATGGCGAAAGAGTAGCAGCTTCAGTGTTTACACTTCTCTCCAGCATGAATTAGAAGACGTTCATGAATGGTCGACAAGTAATTTACTCCTGTTTAACATGGATCTATGTGCATCGTCAGCCCACGAAAGTGCACAAACTGGAATACATCTTGCAGAAAGTCTCCTAAGAGCGAGAGCGTTATATAATGATCCAGGACAACCTCGGCCACTCGCAACAATTCTAGGTGTCGGGACAAGCAACCAACCTGTCGGCCTTCTTCGCAGAGCCTTCGGTCGGTTTGAACCCCCAATATTACCAGAAGTGCAGAACGCCTACGTACGACCGCACGTGGAATACGCCACCAGGCGTGGCCTCCATGAAAGAAGCAAGATCCCACTGCACTAAAGACTTCACAACGAATAGTATTAGCGGCCGCCCATCTGACCTACCAGCTTAGACTGAAGTCTACAGGAATGTGCAGTGGTCGGTATCAACGCCGGCTAGGTGACCTTATAACAATTTACCAAATTTTGGAGAACTTAACTTATATTTGCCACCCGCTCCTTGAACTAAATCGTAACATTAACATGAGAAGTTATCATTAGAAAAATGACCATACAGTACAGACAGCTAGAATGATGTCGTAATTTCTTTTGCCTTCGACTGACGGCCGATCTACGCTCTCCCCGTGTGCGTTGCATCGGCCCGTCTAATGAGATTTGGGTAAACGATTTGATGATACAACGTGCCAGCTACCGTTCACTTAATAAATTGCGATAAATATGATGCAACAAGACGGTGTGTTCCCAAGCACTAACCAAGTGGATTTATACTTATTATCAGGTGCACGTTTCGGTAAGTACGCCTCTAACATCCTTCATCATTTTCGCTAATTCCATCTCGACCAGCTTATGAGACTTCTTAAATGTCAGCTCCTTTACCTGTTATATGGCATTGTTCTACTGATTTCGCAAAAACCATGCCACTCAGGTGATATGAGACTGATAACCAATCGGTGCGTCTGTGATGACTTCATTTCTTTATAGGCTACAAATGACGTTACTAGGCGGTAGCTTGTATGCCTTTCTCTCCAAAATAATGCCTAGCAGTTTCTATTTCACGATGAGTCTAATGGATAACAATATCCTTGAGTAACGGTATGACGCTGGTAGATTGAGTCTATTTACCACCGTATACTTCAACCCATGCTGAGGCTGATGTCGCATTCATGAT